TTTGGGCGATATGAAATCTCTTCAATCTCTGGGTATTTATCAGTGCCCAAAGGTAACATCACTGCCAGGTAGTATCAGAGGAATGACGAATCTCCGATATCTGTGGATCAAAAAATGCCCGGAATTGGAAATGAGATGTCAGAGAGAGAAGGGAGAGGACTGGCACAAGATAGCACATATTCCCCACCCGGAAATTGGTGAACGGATTCCCTAATTGGCGGCTGTTTCAAACTACAGCTGCAAGTATTTTTTTCTCCTGGATCGGAATGTTGCAATACATAATTGTGTTATTCTTTTCGTTTTTCCTTCTCTTTTTGGCATTTATGTGAGTTAGCATAATTCCCCCGTTATCTCTATCTCTATCTCTCTCTCTCTACATCAGCAGAGTTGAATATATATTGAATAAATGGAGCAGTATGTGATCGAAATAGTATTTTGCCACTATAACTAACTGATACCCGTTTACATTTTGAGCGTGTCTGAAGAATCAGATTCCAGTAAATTTGCATTGCAAAAACACCCCTAACTTTTAGAAAGAAACACTTAAAATCAACTTAATTCACAATCCATAACTTCTGCTTTTAAATAAGTTTTTGCAAACACCACCATAATTTTATTGGCAAAAACGCCTTATGATTTAATTTTTGTAGCAATCACCAACCTTGTTAAAGGAATTGTGTGCTAAACAAGATTAAATAATAGGGGATGTTTTATTGATAAAATAATACAATTTTTTTAATTTTAGCAATTCGATATAACACAAGAGTACCGACCGAAATAAACCTCCATGTGTATAATTAAGGGGGTGCGAAATCGACATCAAAAGTAAGAAAATGGAATTGGTAGCAGTTTCCACATTTGTCCTTGTGGCGGTTTTAGCCTGGTTTATATTCCCGAGGCACAAGAATCTTCCGCCCGGGCCTCATCCTTTTCCGATCATCGGAAACCTTCACCAACTTGGCAAAAATCCGCACTGGTCAGTTACAAAACTCTCCAAAAAAATATGCATGGCCCTTTAATGTACATCTCTCCATTTGGGAAGTATATACACCCTATGAGTTGTATCGTCGCCAGAAATGGCAAAAGAGATACTTCTGAAACAGGGCAACAATTTCTCCGGCCAACCAGACGGCTGCTTTAGAGGCAGCGCACGGTCACTACAAGATCCCAATGACGTTTTTACCCATCGAAAAAGAATAGAGAAAGTTCCGCAAACTGGGCCTGGAGAAACTAGAGAGGAAGTGCGACTATGCCGGGGAATCCTGCGACAGGGGCAAAGCGGTAAATATCGGGGAGGCCATCTTCACGGCGATGGTCAATCTAATGTTCGCGACACTCTTCTCAACTGAAGATGCTAGTTTTGATTCGAATAATGAATCATCATCTGATGATCAGGAATTACTTAAGACAACCATTGAGGGCATTGCGAATATCATGGGACGTCCTAACTTTGCGGACTTCTTTCCGATTCTTAAACCGTTCGATCTGCAGGGGTTAATCGGATGTCCGGGATTTACTTGGGGAAGTTGCTTTTGTTTATTGAGGGTGTTATCAATCAGAGACTGGAATCGAGAAAATCATGCAAGACCATCAAGAAGAAGACTGATTTTCAGGAGACGCTTCTTGATCTACAACACAACGAACGTAACGACTACGTACGACTTTAGCATCAATGTCATTAAGCATTTCCTTATGGTGAGGAAATTCAGTTCATTAATTCATTAATTTGGAATTATATTATATGGAAAGAAAATAAATAAATTGGTGGTTTTTTTAACAGTTAATTTGTGCCTAGGACTTGTTTGTGGCGGGATTAGAGCCAACAGCGTGCACGCTGGAGTGGGTTATGACAGAATTACTTTTGAATACGGAGGTATTGTTTAAGACAAAGCAGGAGATGATGTATGTGGCGGGAGAAAACGAAAACCTGAACGAATCAGATGTAATGGGGCTCCCATACTTGAAAGCTGTGATCAAAGAAGCCCTTCGCCACGAAAGTCGGAACACGATGCACATTGCACACGTGAGTGGCTATTTTATCACCAAAGAGACACAATTGGTTTTTAACGTGTGGGAGATTGGGAGAGACCCCGGGATCTAGTAAGATCCCGAGTCTTTTGACCCAGAAAGATTTTTGGGTAACAACAACAACAAGAAAAGTAGTATAGATTTCAAGGGACAAGATTTTTGAACTTATTCAATTTGGTGCTGGAAGAAGAATCTGACCTGCTTTAACACTAGCTCATCGAATGATGCATATCACTGTGGCTACTCTGATTCATAAGTTTGATTTGAAACAAGGAGGAGAAGACCACAGAGCTGGGCGGTTCGGGCAGGCACTTCATAAGGCAGTTCCCCTTGTGGCTATTCCGATCAAATCCAATCCCATCAATTAAATAAGGCCTCAAAATTGATTTACATTTCTCAAAGTCAATTGTTCTTTTCATCCTAGCAACACCCCTGATTTTATATTTTTATTAGATACAAATACATTATTTGGTAATTTACTCAATATATCCTCATATTTTAAACAAATCCGACATCTTCTTATGACTCCACAAATTTATTTTATCACGTTCTTCACAATTCTCTCTCTCTCTCTCTCCTCTCTCTCTCTCCTCTCTCTCTACCCATCGTGTAATCTCAAATCAGAGGCGGAAATTGCAAAACCAATCATCTGTGCGTTAGGTCGGTGGCTAGGGCTTGCACGATTGTGATGAAATCTCTTGCGGTGGAAACCACCTGAACGTCTTCCACAAAGGTGCTTTTCCATGGACGATCTTCTTCCACTTCAAAGCCACAACGTTTCTCGATAAGATGTACCTCTATTTCGGCAACGGCGAGATGGTGCGATTTAGATATCCGCGGATTAGGTGGTACAACACGACTGGTGTTTTAACTGTTTTTCACGTAACGGTGTTACTATTTTTGTGAGATGGCTCTAGGGTATGGTATTGGTTGCTATCTAGCTTTTGGCGGCGTCGATGGTTTTGACAAAGTGAGGTTAGGGTTTAGTATTGGTTGCATCCCTACTCTTACGATTTAGTCGCGCGGTACAAGATAATTTATTCTTTTGTAGCCAATTTCGATAATTAGTAGTTGGTTTCGGTGATTTTTGTAGTTGACTTCGCTATTTTTCGTAGTAGGTTTCGATAATATTGTAGATGATTTCGATAATATTGTAGTTGGTTTCAATGATTTTGTAGTTGGTTTTGATGAATTTGTAGTTGTTTTCAATCAACTGTAGTGGATTCCTACAAATTGTAGCTCGTAGTTGATTGCTAAAATTTGTAGTTGGATTGAAGTGTTTTTTGTTCGGAATCGGACACGTGTACGCAGCGGAAAACAAAAAAATTATGCGAATTAAACGAATTTAAAACACATAAACACATGCCCGATAATTGAAAACAATTAATTGCGTATCTTTGCGCTTCCAGCGAAATTAAAAACAACATACATGCTCAATTATTCAACCGAATTTAAATCAATTAGCATGCTCGCGTTTAAATCAAATAATCATGCTCGGAATAAATAAACGATTTCATGTAGTCACATAAAATCATACAAGGACGAACATATATATTCAATTTAAACGTATCAGAATCTATCGACAATGGATTCGAAAGTTTACCTCTTGAAGCGTGAGGTAGGCGCACTAAGCAAAGCTAGATTGCCACGGAAACCAATCCGTGCAATCCGGGGCAGCAACGGCGAAGATCCGAGCTACGGCGGCGCGTATGGCTCACGCGCTGTCTTCGGGCGGCGCGTGGGATTGCGTGCGACGTCGGCTCGTGTGCTGCTCCTCGGTTCTTCGATCTTCGATCTTCCTCCTCTCGGATTTCACCTCGTATACTTCAATCTACTAAACACGTGGTACTAGACACGTAATAGTTAGAAAAATGGAAGAACCGAAAGAAGGAAAGAACTACCAAAAGGATCGGCCAACGGATGGCCGATTCCGGCGAGATGGCGGCGGCGACGGCGGTGGTGGCCGCGGGAGAAGATGGCCGAGCGAGAGAGGGAGCGGCTAGGGTTAGTTCGTGTATTATTTTTGTGCAAGACCTATAAATCAAGTATTTATAGTGTCTTGCATAAAAACCCTAACGGGCTTAAGTTGGACCGGGCCCAACAGCTTAAGTTCGTTAGTTCTTTTACTTGCTCGTCTCTCTCAATACAATGATCGTAAAATTGTAACGATTACATTTTCGGAATCATTATAATGTCCTCGTTATTACGAGTGCCATCTCTCGATTTCCAACTTTCCAAAAGTGGAAACCCTAATTCAGTGCACTTTCTAAATTTGGAAATTTCCCGATTTAGAAAGTCCACTAATATGTTTGCCTATTCTTTTCCTTTTTCTTATTCTCATTCATTATTCCAAATTACGAATGTTGGACCCAATCATATTGACTTCCAATCATGCAAAGATAAACCATTTTATCTCTGACCGTTTATTCTAAGATCTCATGTGCACGAGCAGTGTGACCCTCGATGGTTCAGGTGTAAGCTAGCCGTGGGCCCACAACCCTTTGTGGTCAAAACTCGTCCCTTAAAGGTAAGATTAAGATGAAACTCGTTTCACCTTAATCACCCAACGAATCAAGATTGGCATCTAGCAACTACGCGTCATGATTCCCTAGATACAAATGTAGTGCCTGCAAGAACCTTCAGATATAGTTAACGTATAGTACGATCCCTTCGATTCATATGTCCTGATTGAACTAGAGGCATTGGTTCGTCGAGACCTCTTTATTTGTTCAATGAGGGTGTGATCGTTCTAAGTGTTGTAATCGTTCCGTGCATGACTTAGAGAATCGAATTCTCTAATCATCACTTAGTCAGCTCTGGTCAGAGACTTAGAATGAATACAAACTATCAGAACACACAGGACATCCAAGACTATTCTAGCGATCGAATCCCCGACTACAATGCACAGACCTCCCACTAGATTTCGGACTGCACGAACACTAGCCCTTGGGATGGTCCTCGGTGGAACTCAGGGACAGGTCACGATACAGCTGGTCCTCTAGTGAAGTCACGGTGATGTCTAGGTCATAAGGACTAATGGTGTACAACTATACCATAGATATCTCTACTCGATTATAGGGAACCACTTAGAGATTTCTAGGGTGAGGGAGTTCAGTGAGCTCGTCAACTTACGAGCACCCACTTATGCATGCCGATATCACAATACCGTTTACTGATGAGATGCAGTACACATACACTATGTGCTAGTCTCTTAATGGGAAAGGTCGATATCCTCATTGGTGGCGTAACCCTTCGACTAGGAACACGTTTAACAGTTATAATACTTAAGTAAATATCTCACGATCCTAAGGATCAATTACTAGTACTTGTAATAATTGTAAGGACTATATCTATGCTTGTGACAAAGGGACAAAGATATAGAATGCCAAGGTGATTTACCATTAATACGAATAAAGGTTCGTTTATTACCATAATAAATACGAAAGACCACAGCCACATCTTGGCTTGTTGGTCACCTACTCTAACATTTTTATAGTTGTTTTTGTTATAAGTTGTAGTCGTGTTATAATTTTGTAGTTGATTACTGAAATTTGTAGTCGGTTACATTTTAGTAATTGTAGTTGATTATTATAATTTGTAGTTGTTTACGATATGGTAAATCTGCCATGAAGAAAAAGACGAATTTATTAGAAAAATGAATTTATTAAAAAATAAATGCATTAAAATGTAAAAATAAAATAAAAAGGTAGAAAATAGAATGATATATATATATATATATAGTGGGTAGAGATGTGGATAATTAAAATAATGTAACGGTAAAATGAAGTTATGAGAAGTTAGGGCATCTCTAATGGTGTAAGCAAATCGGGTCTTCAAATTCTATTTTGGAGACCCACAAGGAGACCCGGTAGAATTTTACAGTCTCTAAAAAAAATTCCACAATTGAGGGTTCTATAATTTTAAGTGTCTAAATCATGTTACGGATTATTTTATGTACTAATTTGATTAGGGCTCACATTGTATTCATATACGAGATTGTAGACAATTAAATTTTATTTGAACAATCTTAATCATTTTTAATACATATTTCGATCCAAAAAATGATTTTTTTTTTGAAAAGATAGGAAATGTTGAACTAATATTTTTAATACACATTTAGAAGTGATGAAGAAAATGAAGAACAATTAGAGTTATTTTTTTTTCTTACCCTTGAAAACCAACGGTCATATATGCAAATCATTCAAATTTTACTTTTATTTAAAAAAATCGAAATTTAAATTCAAGAAATTGAGTCGTGTTTGAAGCTGGATCTCATTTAGATTGGATCTCATTAGATATGAGTCTCCAAACAAAGACCTATTAAGGATCAAGTTTGGATATTTTGGAAAAATCTGAAAATTTAGATCGCCTTTAAATTTCTTGTTGGTGTTGGATTTTGTTCCACAATGTATATTTTGCAGTCAAATGAAGTTTGGAGACTCCATTGAAAATGCCTTTAGGGGGTCTTTCAAATGCAAATAAGAAAATGGGTTTCTAGTGTGTTAAATAAATATTGAGGAAGACTAGCTAATAAACCCATTAATTATAATTTATCTCCTTCATATTTTTCTCTTTTTATATATTTCTATATATATATATATATATATATATATATATATATATATATATATATATATATATATATATAT